AAAGTCTAAGTCAATTTCGGCCGAAACCGAAGAAAAACCGAAAGTTAACTTTTCTCTTTCGGCCGAAACCGAAATTAAGCCGAAAGTTAACTTTTCAGTTTCGGCCGAAACCGAAACTTGGCCGAAAGTGTTAAAATGGCCACTTTCGGCGCCGAAACCGAAGCCGAAGCCGAAATTCGGTCGGTCTCTAATCACGGTACTGTACTGTGATGGATGAGCACACAGAGAACGCGCACTGTAATTTAATCTAGACACACAAAGACCATACTAGGACGTACATTTGGTGTTAAAAAAATGAGTGGTAAAAAATCCTATAGTTTCGTGTGTCCCATGGCCATTATCCAGTGCATGATGCATCAACATTATTGATAATAAGCAGTGGGGTTGCGACTCCAGAAGAATGCGATAGACATGTAAATAGTTATCGAATGGGTGGATTGAATATACATTTGTTTTTTTAAAATTTAATTAATGTACCGTATGTTAATTAATTTTTAAAGTTCATGATTAAGTTTGTTCAATTGTATGTACAGCGTGGTGACCCCAGCCCTAGGGTGGGGACGTACCACGCTACATAAAACCACTAATAATAATAATAATAATAATAATAATAATAATAATAATAATAATATTCTGAAATGGAAACAAGCCCGACGTTGACCGAAACAGAGGAGATGAAGAAGAAAACAAAAAGAGTAAATGACGCCATCAAAAATTGTGTCACAAAAATATTATTACATGAACATCATTACGTCATTTACGTGCCAGTTTTTTAAGCCTTCTTCGCCTTAAGCATAATTTAAAAAAAAAATATCCAAACATTTAATACTAGTATAAAAACTAATGTAATTCATATATTTGAAAAAGAATCATTTGGCACAAACAACATAATAAAAGAGATACAATGGATCGCAGTATTACCAACCATCTAAGCCCTCTTACTTCATACAATAATACATTGGTAGAAAAAGAATACTTGAAGATTAAAATTTACTTAATTAATTTTTTTTTTTATAAGTATGGTTGACATTTTCAGCTCAATTTGATTGCATCAAATTTTTTTTTTTTTAAAGCTCTACAATCCCAGAAGCAATTTATTTTGTGTAAATATTATAACTTTATATAACTATAGTCCTAAAAAAAAAGTTAACACATTTACAAAAGAGTTTGGCCCAAAATAAGTTGTCTACCTGCGCCACTACAGACTCCAGGTACTTGCTAACCGACTTTTAAAACGTGATCTAAATCTACCTGGGCTCTTACAGTACAGAAAGACGAACCATTCACCCGTAAAAATCAAATGGACAAACTTAAAAAAAAAAAAAAAACAACCAAAAAAAACAAACAAACAACGTCCATGCCAACTCCGTTCGGCCCAACCATGAACGCTGTCCCAACCAATGTCTGTTCAAACAGACCACGGATCAGCTCAATAACTTACCCATTCTGAAAATGAAAACTGCCAGAAGCAAGCCACAGAACGTTCACGGCGAACCAGCGCCTCCCGAACAAAGCCCGCGCGCGTGTGTGATTTGAATGAGTACCGAAGCCGACTGACTATCTAGCACACGGAGGCCCCCCCCCCCTCCCCTGCAGACATTCCAGGGCGCGTGCGATGATGATGTTCCCGGCGGCTGTCTCGTCTGATAACTGTCAAGTTCAAGAACACGCGGTCGGTAAACTAGCGGGCGGGAAATGTCGGGGTGGAAGCTTTCTCCGCTCTCACCGGGGTCCTTCCCTGCCGGGTTCTTCCTATAAGTATCGGGTCTGTCCTATACAAGGGATCTCAAAAGTTCCGTCCTACCGGGCCTGTTCATGAAACATAAGTGGGATCTCCTCTCCAGCAGAGAAGTGTATGAAATGCCCGTATGTTGATATTTGTATAGAGCAAGTTGAGAATCCTATAGAATAGCGGTACATAAGTAATAAATATAAACTTTTGAGCTATGACTGAAGGTTTAAACAAAAAACACACGAAACTATTTTTAAAAAAACACCAAAAAAACAAAAAAAAAAAAAACCAACAACATTACACTGTATTTTCCTTTTGACTGTCCGTAAATTTTTGAATGTAAAATGGCTGCAAAAATAAGGTTTAAACAAAAAACACACGAAACTATTTTTAAAAAAACACCAAAAAAAAAAAAAAAAAAAAACCAACAACATTACACTGTATTTTCCTTTTGACTGTCCGTAAATTTTTGAATGTAAAATGGCTGCAAAAAAAAAAAAACAAAAAAAAAACACCTTCTTTAAGTCATTTTAAACATCCTTTTGGATAATCTTTATCTCTCGACATAACAATAACCGGAGCAATTAACAGCACGCATTACGCGACACACCAGTTGTAAACCACCGCTTTAGGTCTCCTCATCTAAAGCAATCTCAAGATTTGCAAAGCTCCGATAGATGCGAGTTAGAACGTAACCAAGGATCTTCGGATAAAAATTTACAGACTTTTATCATGGATGTATCCCCTGAATTAGTGCAACGCCGTACTTTCAACATTAACCTTGTACTTTAAATCACACGCACTAAAATTCGGACAATGTGTTATATCCCCCCCCCCCCCCCCCCCCCCCCCGGGGTTTGCTACCCCAAAAAAACCTCAAGTTAAATTTTATAAAATTGGGNNCCCCCCCCCCCCCGCCACGGTGATGATCGTACACCAGAAAAGCTTCAATGTACATTATATG